CTCCACTGACATTGTTCCTTTTAACATCCAGGTTACTCCACATTGCTCAACCCAGTGGTCAGTTCTCAATCAGCATCTTAATGGCTGGCATAATGACCACTGCCAGCATGGACTGGGGTGAGCATGCCCTCCTTGCTTCACTGCCTTCAGGGACCAACCTCCCGGTTGTCTTCTACCACTCGCTTCTTCTCAGCATCCTTTGCTGGATCCGCCTCATGTTTCACTATCTTAAAGTTGGCATGCCCCGGGGCTTCATCCTCTGATCACCTGTCTATCCTTCCCTGGCTCATTGATCTTAAAGCCATGGCCTTTATACTATTCATATGCCACTGATGTCAACACTTATACCTCTAGCTTCAATATCTCTCCTGAATTCAAGTCTTGTCTATTCAACTCTTTGCCCTACACCTTTTTTCAAATGTCTAACAAATCTTTCAAACTGAGCACGATCTAAATTCAACCCTGATGTCCTCCAAACCTACTCCACTCACAGACATCCACCTCACTTGATGTCCACCTTATCCTTCTACTTGCTCTGGCCACAGATCTTCGAGTCTTTCCTCTCCTTCCCTCCACTCCATGTTCAATCTTTCAGAATATAGTGTTGGTTCTTATTTCAAAATACATCTAGAACCTGGCCATCTTCACTGTTCTTTCCCTGATCTGAGTCACCATGCCCTCTCCTGTGTTATTGCAGTAACCACCTGTGCATGCTCATTCACTTCAGTCATGTCCAACTCTCTGAGATGCTACGGACTAGAGCCCACCAGGCTCCTTGTCCATTGGGATTCTCCAGGCAAGAATACTGGAATGGATTGCCATGCCCTCCTCCAGGGGATCTTCCCGACTCGGGGATCGAATCCACATCTACCCTCATCTCTTGCATTGCAGGCAGATTCTTTACCCACTGAGCCACCTGAGGCCCACCTGACTGGTCCTGTTTTCAGACTCTGTCCCCTCCAGTGTTTTCAGCACAGCAACCAGTGACCCCTTTAAATGTGATCAAGCCATTCCTTTGCTCAACTCTTCCAGCAGCTTTGATGGCCCATGTTGTTCAGTTGCTAAGTCACGTCTGACTCTTTGCGACCCCACGGACTGCAGCACACCCAGCCTCCCTGTGCCTTACCATCTCCCGGAGTCTGCTCAAGTTCACGTCCAGTGAATCAGTGATGCCATCCAACCATCTCGTTCTCTGTCATCCCCTTCTCCTCCTCCCTTCAATCTTTCCCAGCATCAGGGTCTTTTCAAATGAGTCAGCTCTTCGCATCAGGTGGCCAAAGTATTGGAGCTTCAGTTTCAACATCAGTCCTTCCAATGTGTATTCAGGCCCATACGGTTCTACATAGCCTACCACTCTTCCCCGCTTTCACTCTCAACAGCTGTAGGTCATTCTGCTGTATACCAAACACACCAGGAATGCTCAAGACTCAGGGTCTCTGCCCTAGTTTTTGTATACTTAGTTCACTGTAGTTTCCCAGCACCTGGAATAATTTCTTTGCATATAATTGAAGCACATTATTGAAAATGAATGGATGAATGAATGAATTGGATATAGGAGTAAGGTAATGAAGTAGTGGGGCTTCTTCAGTGGCTCAGCGTTAAAAGAATCCACCTGCAATGCAGGAGATGTGGGTTCAATCCCTGGGTTGACCAGATCCCCTGGGGAGGGAAATGGCAACCCACTCCAGTATCCTTACCTGGGAAAACCCATGGACAGAGGACCCTGGCAGCTACAGTCCATGAAGTTGCAAAAGAGTTGGACATGACTGAGCAACTAAACCACAGCAATGAAACAGTCAGGATGATAACTAAATTTTTAGCTTGAGAAGATGCATGGATGGTAAAATGGGGGAGCCTGAAAGAGAACTTGGTTTCAGAGCTGGGAAGATTATAGAGATGTCCATTTGACATCAGATGGATGTGCATTCATCGGCAGCTGGATATGTAAGTATGAGATTCTGGAGACATGCAGAGTCTGGGTCAGATTTGGGAGTAAATGGTATGTAGGTTATGGAACCAGATGAGGTCATCTAGTCGGAGAGCAGAGAAAAGAGAATGAGGTCCAGTACCAAGCCCTAGTTAATGCCAACATTTAGAGAACGAGCAGAGGAGAGTGAGTGTGGAAAGCGCCGAAAAGGAGCCAACACGGGGCTGGAGAGGAGCCCGGAAAATATGGAATTACTGAAGCCAGGAGGAGTGCTGTGGGAAGGCGGCAGCAAATGATGCTGAATGCTGCTGAGTGGCCAAGTGCAGGGGGGGCTGCTGACTGCGTGTTGTTGGGTACAGTTTCCATGGGGTTGGGAGGACAGAGGTGACTGAGGAGGCTTGAGCGTGGAAGTTTGTGAAGACGTCAGCTACAGTCCAGTTTTGCTGGGAATGGGAACAAACAGGACGATCATGGTCTCGACTGTCTTAACCCATCACTGCTCCTTTCACAAGCCTCCCACTCACCCTTGGACCACTCTGCATTTCAGCTCACTCTCTCAAACACCCACCAGGACTGGGAATCCACTTCATCACCCACTCCTTTCTCATGTTAGATTCCATGCACCAGCCCTCCGTTTACCTTATCCCCTCTCCCTTCATCGTTCAGGCAAATCTCAGCTCTGATTAAGTCTATTCTTAACCTGTTTTTTTCCTGCATCGGAGGAACTACACATGGCTGGAGAAAATAGCCAACTGTGCTAGGTAAGTTCAGTTTTAAATTGCTGAACGTAAATCTCAAAGAGGTTTTCAGGAATGTCCTACCACAGTTGGTTTTCCTACTGTCCTAGATGGCGACCTCACACTCTGTCACCTGTCAAACCTCCAGCATTCCGTCCCACTTCCTCACCCCCTGCTGATGGTTCACACCACACACACACACAAAAAAGAGAGAGAAATAAAGAGCCTACCTCATGCTCTATGCCATCTACTAAACTACCTACAGCTGTACTGTTTTCTGCGCCTTGGTATAAAGACCAATTCTTTCATTTGTCTTGAGTATGTCATCAATCTCCCCCGTCTATGGGATTATCACTACACACACACACACACACACACACACACACACACACACACCCACNGGTACCCGATGCTGCACTTTCACTACCCACACACACACACACACACACACACACACACACACACCCCTACAGTACTTCCCATCCTTAACAAAATACCTCCCTAGACCTCAAATCTCCAATTCCCCTCAGGTACCACCCACTCCTTGCCCCCACTGTTCAGTTACAGGGCATTTTATGTTTGTTGTCTCCACATCCTTCCCTCTCATTCTTTATTGAACTTACTCCGCTCAGGCTTGCTTTCCTGCTTTCTCACTCCCCATGACGTCTGTTACCAAACCCGTTATGTTGCCGTGTTATGTGACTCTAGCAGTATGTGTCCAGTTCTTCATGCTCCACATCTTTAAACGCTTTTCCTTTTCCTTTTCTTCTAGAATATTGTATTTTCTTGGCTTTCCTCCTTCATCAGTAACTCCTTAGTCTCCTCTGTTTCCCCTTCCCTCCTTCCTTCCTTCCTCCCTCCAAATACCATAATGCCCAATCCTTGATCTCCTTCTACACTCACTTCTTGGGTGTATTCCCCTGGCTTTATAAACCATCCATAAATTGATGATTCACAAATGATTTTCTCTGGTCTCTGACCTTTTACCTAATTTTCAATTCCCAAATCTGTCTACTTGACATCTTCGGTTACAATGTCCATAGGCATCTCTAATTTAACATGACCTACACAGAACTCTGGATTCCCAGTACCACTGACCACCCTTCTCATCTTTCCTCCAAAGTCTTTTGCTTGGGGGAACCTCTGAGGCCAAGAGTGCTTCTGAGGCCAGAGGCTTAGGATTCATCCATGCTATTCCTTACACTGTCAGTCAGTCTTGTTAGCTGTGAACATACGAATATACACTTTCTACCAGTACTAGTCTAAATCCAAGCCACCGTCTTTTATCTGGACTGACCTCCAAACCAGTCCTCTTTCATCTTCCACCTTCTGCAGTCCATCCTCCATACAGCAGCTAGATGGATCTTTTTAAAATGTCATTCTTCAGCTCAAAATCCTACTACATTTTAAATGAAATTCATGCTTCTTACCTATGGCTGCTGCCTACCCCTCCAGCCTCACCTCTGTCATTCACGTACCCGCTATATTCTGGCCACACTGGACTTTCCGTAAATGATCCTTAGTTGCAGTCCTTCCCATGGTTTCCTCCTTAACTTCACTGCAGTTTCTGATCAAATGTCACCTCATCTTTGGAGACGCCAGCAGTATGATAAAGTCCTCCACGTCCCCACTACATCATTCTTTTCCACTTTCCTGGTTGACTATTCTCATTAGCACTCCCACTAGTTGAAGTCACATGCTTATGTGGCTTGTCTCCTTTGTTAAGATGTAAGATCCTTGAAAGCAAGGTCTTTATCTACTCCAACCACACAACACCTGGAATGTTGTAGCCACTCAACAAACTGGATAAACCATAGACAGTATATTTAAGGAGAGAGAGAGGTTCAAAGGTGGTCTTTTTAAAAGTAGACATAAAATACTAGAGCATGTTTCTATGCTGATGGAAATAATCTTGTAGAAATGAATTTGTTAAAGCAGGAGCAAAAGAATAATGCAGAAAGCAGAATGTGTAGACACAAATATAGGCATATTGCTAACCAGTTTGAGAAAAGGGGGAAAAAAAATCAGAGGATCTGGGTTGTAATCTCCACTCATTCTTTGTAAGACTACCCTTGGGATCCTTCCTTGCAGACAGGAATGCCATGGTTGTTCTGAGAAGACACCCCACCTTACCCTCTGCATGAGACTGATCAAAGGTTTGTGGTGCCTAGAATTTCGTGACACATGGAAACTTTGCAATAAACATTGGTCTTTTTTGCACAGCTAAAATATTAAAGCCCCAGGGTGATTTTAAAAAATGATAGCCTGCACATTTTTCCCCCCCAAATACTGTAAATTAAGAATGACATTTTCATTAGTGCCTCTTTCTCTTTCAGGAACTATGTGAAAAACAACATTTGCTTTATGAGTCATCACCGGGAGGAATTAGTGCCAAAACAGCTTCAAAAAAGCAACCCCCAAGAGCAGTTCTTGGAGTCTAAAAAGCTACGGGGTAAGGGACAGCCAAGGCAGCTTTCTTCAGAGATCTGATGGCCTCAAAACCCTTCAAGGGTTGATACAGAAAGAGAACAGTTAGGGTGTCTTCCTACCAATATGTATTAGCCACTCCCACGTTTTCTGTCCTGTCATGGAACTAGTTTAAAATGGATATCCTGAAATTATACCATCTTCACTCATTACCCCGCCCCCCAAAGGAACCATGAAAGGTGTTTGAGGAACAAGGTCCCAGGTGGTCTCTTTCTTACTCTGAGCAGGATACCAGGATAAAAATAATACCACCAGGTTCAGTATTTTCCACCTTCTTCACAGAGCATCCTTTGAAAGATGATGAACTAGTGATGAGAGCAACTTTTATCTTAAAGTTCGTTATGCACAGAGGCCTGTTATGGCTTTATTATTCAGACACATAAGCTGTCTGAACATAAGCTTATGGTTCTTTGCCTAACACACTCCCCACACTAGGTCTGGTGTAAAAAAGAACCAAGACACAATATGGACAATTGCACACATATTCTAGGTTAGGATAGGGTCCTAACTGGTTAGAACTTCAGTGATCATTTCTAATTATAGTTCAACAAGTATAAAGATTATCCATCTTATTTTATGAATCATGGACTACAATGTAATTCAAAATATTCTTTTATGAATTTGATGTTAGTATTACAAAGTACTAAAAAGAAGCAACTCTGCAATAGTTGAGAAAGATAAGCATTTTTTTATCCATTAAAAAAATGTATGAGTAGAAAGGATACTTTCAAAATCGTGGGATCATATTTATTTAGTAGTAGTTGTTAGTAAAACATGAGAAAAGGAGTCAGTCATTAGGTTATTTATCCAAATCTGTTAAGTAGTTAGGTTTTGAGTTACTAAGTTAAGCTTACACATGTCTCTCTTTGTAAGGCTTTCATGATAACTTAGATCCATAGTTTCCTGCAGTTCTTCACATGCCTCAGGAATATCACTACCTCAGGTTACAGCCTATGGGCTATAAGTGATGCTGACTTTCAGATACTTGCAGACATAATAAATGACATCTAGACATGGGGACAATTCCCTCACTATGTTCTTTTCTATATGATGAAACAGAGATCACTGACTGTACCAGAAGCATGGGTTTTCACCCACACAGTAATGGACTGCTCTTTTCTGTACTGCACCAGTTGAATTTGAAGATGTGGGGAGGCATTTTACCAATACAATTTGGTACACTGGTAGAAAATCTACAATAAAAAATCTCAAACCATTTATGCAGTAATCCACTAAATGACTTAAACTATGGGAAACACACAAAATGTATTGAACAACCTAAGTTGAAAAAGAATACAAAAATATGATTACTCTGAAGAAAAGGGAATCCTCAGAGTCAAAAGCCCTTTTCATTTAGCCTGAAATTTTTGTATCAGCCCATAACAAATTGTCCCAGTTTGATATAAGTAAGTAAGATCTACTGCAGTCCTTTATAATGAAGTGCTCAGACTTCCATCTCTGTAAGCAACAGTAAAACTGTTATTATCAGAAACTCAGGAGAATGACTAAAAGTCCTGGTGCTGAAAAACACTATCTACATTAAAATTGGCAGGGGAACATATGAAGAAAGATCTGCAATCTCCATTCTGCACAGTACATTTCTCATGCAAGTTAGAGCATGCATTGTTCATTTGTTCTGGAAGAAGGGAAAGTATGTTCTGTAGAGATAACTGATTCAAGAAATTTATTAAGAACCTTCAATGGAATTATATGCTGACATTAAAAAAGGTCAAGACAGGTAATTAATCAGTATGATTTTTTTTTTCTTTGCCAAGCATCTCAGATTATAAGATACTAACAAAATTGTTAAACTGTGCAAGTCCAAACACTGTGTATCCTTTAGCAATTTCATGGCTTAGCCATGCATTGTAAATGGGCAGGGAACTGTTTATAAACTTAGTAGGTTTATCATTAAGTGATTTCAACTTCAGTATCTTAAAAATTCCATTTTTCTTTTATTATTCAGAATCTATAATGAAACAATTCTATTTTCAAACTAATTTTTATCCAATACAACCCCAACTACAGCATTTTCACTTTCAAAAATAAAAAGGGGGAATACTTATCATTTTTATGTATATATTTACAGTTTTTATTTATAAAAAAATGTACAGCACTTGTGAAAAGCCAGAAGACATCAGACGCACTCATTTCTTGCCAGCTTTAAGTATAGTGGGTCACACCCATGACACTTTGCCAGGCGACACATGAGCAGCAGCCCTGAAACCAGACCCAGTCAGATTGTCCTCCTTCCTCTTTTCTGAGAAAGCATTTTGATGAGCTACTGAGCTACCTAGTTTTCAAGTCACTCCAATACTGAAAAATCATACAACATTTGGATCTGCATCTTGGCTACATCATCATGTTCCTCCCGTCCCTCCCTCTCTATTTCTTTTTCTGTGAACACTGCAGAACAGGAGGTCACTTAATTACTGTTAATTAAGTTTAAGTGAAAACTCAAATTTTTCAAACAGTCTGCCCAGAACCTATAATTTTCATTGAATTTTATTCTGTATATATTTTATGAGGCTACCTACCCCACTGGATCTTAAAATGAAGCAAGTAAACACAAATGTAAAAAGTGAGAAAGAAGTCTGAAAATCACAATTAAGTCTCTCCCAAGAGAGAAAATATAAAAGTTAGCCCTTGCCTCCAACTTAGGAAGAGTGAGAGGAAGGGCAGGGGAAGGTATCAAGAAGACAAAGATAAACATAAAATAATATGCATTGTTCAGTACAGTTTTCAAGATTTTAGAACATGGTAGGGAAAATGTACTAGAATATAGAGGTTAAGGTGTTCCAATTTTTCACAAAGGTTCCAAAACATTTTGGAAAATCAAGGTTTTAGTGGAAGACTGTGTTGTATTATTATCTCTATTAATGTTAATTGAGAAAAGCTAATACAACTCTCCGCTCAGTTTTATTTCTAGGTAAAATCATTGTCAGTTAATACTCAATTGGTCAAGCACCACTGCAGCTTTGATACTGTATTACCATTCCTGGGCTCATGGGTGAGCCAGTCACTGGTTCACAAATGCGTATTTACTGTCAACTTTAAAGGCGCAATCCCATGTACTGAATAGTCACTCTTTAGCTTCATTCAATAAGACACAGAAAGGGGAAAGACTTATCTTGCAAAATGGCTTTCAAGTTCAAGTTGAACGGTAGTATTAATATAGTCACACTGGGGCACTTCTTGTTAAAACAGCACAATGTTTCAACTTCTGACAAGACTCTTAATATACAGCCTTGAGTATCAACCTCAGATTATTCTTTTCCTATAACCAAAGTTGAGTCCAGAATAACAAAGGTACATATGAGGTACAACCCATCACAGCTTTTCTCATATTTATCTTGTAGGTAATAAGAGGTTTCTTTTTTTAAAACTACAACTCTGCAACTTTTAAAAGATGGTTAACATTTTCTATCATGTTAAATTAGCAACATAAAACATTATGCTTAATCTATAAAGTTCTACTCTGCTTCCCTACAATTTATATACATGTTTTCATTTCTAATCTTCAAGAAAAAAAAAATTCCTACTTGATATTTGGTAACAGAGCATTAAAAGATACTATTCACATGTGGCATATGTATATTTACAAAATACACTTCAAAACGAAGCTGACACACTTTAGCAAAAGTCTAAGCTTGCATAGATTAAAAAAAAGAATTATGAATACAATTTTTGTTAAAATAGAAAAATGGGGAATAAAAGTTATAGAATGGATATGAAGAGAGATCTTTTCCAAACTTTTATTTGTGCACATTCAATTGAAAAAGATAACTTTTACAGGTTCTTTGGTGCCCATATTCAGCATACAAAAATGTAAAAGACTATTCACAAATAAAACACATTAGCTCAAACTGGAAAAAAAATAATGACAAAAACAAAACAATCTGCGCTAGTGCACACGGAGACAGCTCTGCTCGTGGGGACATGAAAATTACTGCGAAAATAAATAGAAATGTCCTTTTGTAAAAGCAGCAATGTCATGTCTTGTAAACTTCCTTTTTATATTACAGCAAGGTTTGAAATAAAACCCAAAGGGCCTGGAGCTTACACTGTAGCCGTGAAAGAATAAAAGAGTCTATTTCCTCAGTTACTGTTGGTCCGGTTTTCCTTGTGAGTCCAATGTGCAGCAGGTTTTAAAAGGTGCTCAGTTAAGGATTCTAACCAATTGAGTGGTGAATTATAAAATCTCTTTCCTGCTTTCAAACACAAATGGGTAAATCTGTTCCACAGCAGTAGCAACAGCCTTTACATTGGGTCCTGCAACAACACAATGGAGGAAGAGGTGAGGAGAGGCAGAAGAAAATGAGGAAAGCTCATTCCCCAGAATTACAAAGAACTGAGTACTTTACTAGAATATCAGGTTGTTCTTTTAAAAATCTACACTTATACACACAGTCATAGTAAGAACCAAGAAATACAATTTTTTATGAACAATGAAAGGCAATCAAACACAAAATGATGTTATTCATCTTGGTTTGGGCACCACTGTGAAAAGGAAGTATATTAAAACACACACACACAATCATGAGGAAAATACAAAGTGCTAAAACATGCTCATTAAAGGAAGGACTAACAATCGCAACTAGACAGCTATTAATCTATGATCCTTTTGGTCACTGCTGCCTGGCTTCTGGTTAGCTACGACTGAAGCTCATCACAGGAGTATCGAGGAACCCAGCAGAAGTAAACAAGCCCGCCACCAGAGTTGGGAAACCCGGGGCTGTTATAAACGGCATGGTCCCAACATCCCCACGGATTTACCACTATCTGGGATCCACAGCTTTATTACTCATCTGGTCATTCACCCTTACAGCTTACTTCCCTGGTGGCTCAGTGGAAAAGAATCTGCCTGCCAAAGCAGGAGACGCCAGTTTGATTCCTGAACTGGGAAGATCCCCTGGAGAAGGAAATGGCAACCCACTTCAGTATTCTTGTCTGGGAAATCCCATGGACAGAAGAGCCTGGCAGTTCATGGGGTTGCAAAGAGTCAGACATGACTTAGCGACTGAATAATAACTGCCAAGTAAAAACAAAAAAGCACCAGGGGACGAGGTGATGCAATATATTTATTAATCCCATACAATGCTAAGAATAAAATATGTAAGCTTTCATCTAAATAGCTAAAAAATATATAGAAAAGAACAATGAAAAATATTTTCATAAAACCTATTTTGAATAAATACATAAATATGTGTTTTTTCCCCCACTAACATTTACACTTACTTTTTGAAAGATCCTAAAAACGTACATATGTATCCACTGGGAACCCTTTTCCGACTCACCTCAGTCCCTCCAGAGAATAGAGCTCTGCCCATCGGGACCACTCTGAATGTGTCCGCTGAACTAACAGTTCAGAGGGTATTCCAGATGTTAACATATAACGCATACTAGGTAACCAGGTCAATGGTCTTCAGTTTGCTGTTGTGTTAATTTTCTATTAACTTAATGTATGTATTTTACATAAGCATTATTTTATTCCATACTTCTTGTTTAGTCATTAAGTCGTGTCCGACTTTTTTGCAACCCCATGGACTATAGCCCACCAGGCTCTTCAGTCCATGGGATTTCCCAGGTAACAATACTGGAGTGGGTTGCCACGTCCTTCTCCAGGGGATCGTCCCAACCCAGGGATCAAACCGAGTCTCCTGCTTGGCAGGCAGATTCTTTACCACTAAGCCACCAGGGAAGCCAAATTCCATAATTAGCACGGACTTAATATATTTTAGAGCCTCTGTGAGGTCTGGGCTCCAAAGTGTAGAAACCTAAAGAAGGAAAGAAACAGACTTGCTCCCCAGCACTCCATTTTTTAAGATTCAGGCATGATCCTGGCAAGAGCCTTTAAAAGTCTCCAAGGAAGATGTGAAAACCCATGGATGAATCAAAACTAAAGCTTTTCTATTGAAGGTTTATAGGTGTATTTTCCTTTAAGGATTAATGGAATAATAAGAAAATTCAAAGACCCAAAGAAGTTTTCCTTAATTTTGCCAAAGATTGAACCTGACTTCCAAGTAATGTCTATGAACAATTTATAACCACAATACCATTTAAAAAAATCACTCTGAATGCTAAATGCTACCCTTTGACATCTATGCCTAGTCTTCTGAAATCACCTCTTCCAAATAATTAAAAAGACTCAAAAGATGTAACAAAATATACATTACAAATAGATACCAATTATATTTGAATGTTTTGCTCATGTAAAACCTCTATGAAGTTCACAAAATAGGCTCCTCTTGAGTATTTTAGGTGCAAGACATCATAAACTTAAAAACAACGAATGAAAACATATGCTAGAGTATTCTTAATTCCAAACTGAAAACCCAAATGCTCTTAGGAAAATATATTCACACACTGGGTACTAAACAGCAATAAGAACGACTGATGCACAACTATGTGGAATACAGATGAATCTACTATGGTAATGATGAAGATAAAGAAGACAGACACAAAACTGTATACATAGATTTCAAAATAGTATATTAAAGCAGGTTAAACTCATCTAGTATGTCTGCCAACAAAGGTCCATAGAGTCATAGAGTCAAAGCTATGGTTTTTTCACTAGTCCTGTATAGATGTGAGAGTTGGATCATATGGAAGGCTGAGTGCTGAAGAACTGATGCTTTTGAACTGTGGGGCTGGAGAAGACTCTTGAGAGTCCCCTGGACAGCAAGGAGATCAAACCAGGCAATCCTAAATGAAATCAATCCTGAATACTAATTGGAAGGACTGACGCTGAAACTGAAGCTCCAATACTCTGGTCATCTGATGTGAAGAACAGACTCATTGGAAAAGACTCTGATGCTGGGAAAGACTGAAGACAGGAAAAGAAGGGGGCAACAGAGGATGAGATGGTTGGACAGCATCACTGGCTCAATGGACATGAGTTTGAGCAAACTCTGGGAAATAGTGAAGAACAGGGAAGCCTGGTATGCTACAGTCCATGGGGTTGCAAAGAGACGGACATGACTTAGTAGCTGAACAACAACTGTGTTAAAAAATGAGGAGACTGGCTCTCTGAGGAGGGCAGAAGAGAAAAAGCAGACTTTATCTCCATTTTGGTATGAACACCTCCTTATCTCATTCAATTCATAATTGACAAGCTTGGTTTCAATATCATAAAATACCTGTTACTGTGATACTTCCTGTTGAAAAAATCTGTAATGTAGCTCTTAGCGATTTTATCCGATAGCACACAGCAGGATGAAGTTCAGGTTCATAACTATACCAAAAAAGCCACAATTAATATAAATATTATAGACTCACAAGTAATTTCAAATTTGGTAAGTTATGTTGATTCTTCGAAGACCTACCTGGCATGAGGTCTATTGTTCTTTGTGAATTCTGGCAAACGGATTTCAAATGGCATGTTACACACTGCCAAAACGTTAACAACCTTAAAATCTGTGAATATTACCTTTGGGAGAGAAGTGAAACCAATGAATTATTTTGAAACAAACAAAAAAACCTTACTCATCGTGGCAATCTTAATTTTAAATCTTAAATTTTAATCCTTAAAAATAAGAGCAAACAAGATAAACAGAAACATTTAAAGCATGATTTAGTATTTTAAGTTACCAGAGACTCCTTAATGCTGTAATTAAGCAGGAGGGGGGGAGCTCAAAAACTTTATTAAAAAATAAACAAAGCCTGAGATCATTGCATGAATAAAATAGTACATCTGAGTCTTCTGAATTTTAAGATTGTACTTTAAACAGGATATTTAATCTAGCAGTATAAGACGGAGAACAGTGAGGAAACATTAAAGCAGATTCCTCCAAAAAGAGTCAAAATGGAAAAGCTGTTATTTCAAACTCAAAAAGCAGTGGACACTGAGCTCCAAAGGCCAGACTTTTTCTTTCATGCAGTAAGGTAAAATGATGTTTCTGCGAATTCAGTTAGATGTTTGCTCATTTGGGGGGACAGAATGAGGAACAGAGAGACAAAATTGTGTCTTTAACTCACTGGGATTTCTCTCAACATCTCTAATGTAATGCTAAGAAAAGAAGCTCCAAGGCTGAAAATAATGTCCTCTCAAAATTAATAACTTTAGCCACTTCTACCAATATTTTAATGGTTATACCTTGTTATCTTTTCAACTGTTCTTAGTAAAACCGCGAATCTGGATGAACTAACTCTCCTCCACCTCAGCAGAGGCACGAGGCAGTGAGAGAACGTCAGGAGGCGTGCCCAGCGGCCTGCCATCAGTCACGGCTGTCTACCGCGCGGCTGGCCGGCCCCAGCACCCCACACCCCCGCGCCTCGGTGCCTGCCCAGCACCTTCCAGCTCAGGGGAGACCGCCGTCCTCAGAGAGACTTGGCCCCCATCCCCTCCCACCCAAATCCCAAACTGCCTAGGCCCATCTCTTCAGGAACAACAGCCCTCCTTTTTCTTTTGTTTACTCATCATTTCTAAGTGAGCCAGAGTCCAGGATACATATTCATTTTATTCAGAGTTAGGCCTCTAGAAACTGTAAGGCTGACCTGCTAGAGACGGTCACCTTACGAGGCTGAGAGCCTGCAACCAGCGTGTGCGTGTCAGCAGGGCCCGACGGCTCTCGCTCATCATCCTCACACGGCATTCCTGCGACGATCAAACACAGATTGTGTGTGTGTGCATGTGTGTGTGAGAGTGTGAGAGAGAGAGAAGTGACAAATGTGAGGAGTTGAAAAGTGGTTACTCCATAAGGAAACAAGTCTCCATGGGAAAGAAATCTGTGAAAAAGCCAGGATCCCATAGAAACATCCATGTGGGCAAAGTCTGCCACTACATTTTTGAGCTGAAGGACAGAATTATACAACTTAGAAAAAGGTCAATCATAAGAGGAGTTTGAGGGGACTTCTTCAAACCATTAAAATTTATATATATATATTAAATTTACAGAAATAAATTTTTGGGTATCTGTAGCTTGGATAGCTTTTGAAAACGTTACCTGAAATCCTAGTTTCTGGAGACTACGGGCTAAACGTCTGGCACCAAATTTAGCTTCCTCTTCACTATGGTTTCAAAGAAAGAAAAAGATTATCAGTTACACAGGAAATAAATTTTACTGAGGAACACAACAAACGGTACATGCGATTTTGTTTTCAAGAACGGAAAAATGTCTTTCCCATGAGGGGAAAATTAAAAATAAAAACCCAAGTAACATTTACCTCGTTGCTCCAGTGCAAATAATTTTTCCTGAGGACCAAATTGTAGCTGTAATCCTAGGCTTTCTAAGCTTCATTAATACTTTCTGCAAAAGAAAAGAAAACCAAAAACCCAACAGCTTGGTTAATTTCCACACATGGTTCTACTCTATGTGGCCATTTTATGTTTAAATACTACTTCAAGCTTACCCAAGACTGAAATAACTGTTCTCCAAACCACCCATTCTGAAATGAAGAACAGCACTGAACATAAAGAACTTATTAATTCAAAAGGACATTTAATTAATAAAAAATTCAAGGCCTGTATATATCTCTCACTTTATACTTGAAATAATGTACTACAAGTACACATTCCGACTTCTCCCTCTGCTCACATAACTGGAATTTGCAATATGCATGGATCCTCAAACATGCCAAACCGTGCATGCCTTAGGAACTTGGCATAGCTGTTCCTTTCATCCAGTATTCTCCTCCTTCAGGCCTCTCACCAGATGTCACCTCTACAGAGAGACCTTCCCTGACCATTTCACCAAAACCCCTATCCCTGCACCCCTCTGTGACTTCCAGCCCGGCTCTTCTCTGCTTCATGGTGCTCATTACTTTCTTCTGTGTCTTACAGCTGATATGCCTATTACATACTCATGACTGATGTGCAAATCTTGAACACAGGAGGAAGTTTGGAGCTGGAGATGTAATTTTAGATTCCTTAGAAATGAAGGCACTTAAAGCTATGGATTTGGATTAAATTATCTACAGTGTGAGTGTAAAGAGGTTAAGGACTAAGGTCCAAGATAACACGTGAATTTAAATTTTCATTGCAACTCTTCATTTGTGGCAATATTTAATAAATGGCCATAATATATAAAAGAGCTAAATGTTTTACTGAATATGTAACAAAAAAAGGAACTGGACATTTCTTCTTAAAGCTCTTGTTACATTCTGAGCTCCTCTCTTTCTCTGTCATATGTTGTAATATTAAATTAGAAAGCTAGTAAACCTGGAGAGACCCAAATTATCACAGGCTCAAAATAAAATTTGAGCTAAAATATATTATAAAATTTCTTACCTAAGTGGCTGAGAAACAGAGCTTTTTCTTCATTTAGTTGTCTTTCTCTACCAGCTTGTCCATCAACTCAAGATGTTAACCTTCCCAGGAATAATAACTTGTCTGCCATATGGCATGCTCAAGTTTCAATGCAGCATTAAGCCTGCCCCTCTCTTTTTAGCAGATTATTTACTTCTTTTTAAAAGTGAAGATGGCATTATTGATGAACATGAAAATCTTTAATTGTGACTCACTGAAATTTTTAATTGGATTTAATTCATCTGTACTTCATTTCTAGCCTGAAGAACTAATGCAAATTTACCAAGATATACTGGCATCTAATTTTTAGAGCTTCAGCAGAGCCTTCATACCCATTCTCAATTTTTATAGTAAATGTATAAGGTACTGTGCTCATCCTTTACTTAGTATGTCATTCACAGCACTATGAAATTAGGCTATGTAGCACACGTAACAAAAATCAGGTACTTACTCCAACATCACGCTTATAAATTACGTTTGCTCCCTCTAAAGCAATCTTCCTTAAGTTCAAATGGCATCTTGTTCTAAAAACACAGACTACATTTGTAATTAGAATGTCCAATGCAACATCACTGTCTGCATCCATTGGGGTAGTTTAAAAACTTGGCTTCCCACCACGAAGATTACATCCTGAGAAATAAAAACAAATAAATTAAATAATTAACCTCAAATGTTCTGTTACTATTTTGGTCACAAGGAATCTTGAAAACTAAAATGCAAGAAGTAGATCTCTATTTTTTATTTTTCAAATGTTATTCAAATCATGTCCTTTCTTTTCTCCATGAAAACCATCACTTTTTAAAACATAATGTGTCATAGAAAGTCTTTGAAAATCTGAATCTAACTTTCACTCCTTAAAACCAATCAGGACCTTTTACATGCCAGCAACTCGCCAGACTTAACTCCTGCAACTCGCCTTTGCAGCCACCACTTTCCAGGGGTGCCATGGCCATGGTGATTCTCCACACACACCATGTTCAAGGGCTGGACTCTCTGCGGTCCCAATGTCCAACCATTAATGGTACTAAAACCCACCTCATACAACGTGAAAGGGCTATGTAAAGAATGACCTGCTTTTTCTCTATTCCGGTAGGGCCACTGACTTTCTTAAGTTTTAAGACACAGCAATATTAATAGTAACATTTATCAACAGACTTTTCTCATTTACTAGTCATTCATTCATTAATCACTTACTGAAGACATCTACACACGGAGGAGACTGGAGAAAACAGAAATAAGGCAAGATCTTCTGTCCTGAGGGAACTCACCAGCCTGTGTATGTGCAGGGAAGCTCTAACAAACAGCTGCTTAGCACAATGCCATTTTTACCAAGATCCCAATCTACAGAATGCATATCTTTTCAAAAGAATGACAGAAAATATTTCTAAAATAAACAAAAATGAGCCCTAGTTTTTACCAAGTACACGATCTACATCCAGCTAAAATATTTTCTTTCTGAGTATTCACATCTTAAAAAATAAGTAATGGTAATTCAGTTGACCTACCCCACGAAGAGAAAAATCAGAAAATGGTAACAATGCTACTATAATTATCTTTATAATTCCTTGAAGCACAATATGAAAAAGAACTAGTATTCTTTATAAGGATTCAAATTATTATAAGACTAAAAAATGAAGCCAAGAGTCCAAAAAAAGACACAAAATTCTACCTTGTTTTCCTGCCTGTTAGTTTCTGGTAGGACACAATGAGAAGTCAGGTGGAGACTTTTAGCACCTCTGTAGGATCATACAGCATTGAACTCTGTGTATCATCTGAACCTCAACTTCATTCTATTTTCTTCCTTATATTTAGTTCAATCTACCTTTTTTTTTTTTTTCTGTTCTTTGTGCTTGAGCAACCTCAAATGATTCCTGGGTACAAGAGGCGGGGACAGGGGTGACAGTGATGTCTGAGGGATAGATATATAGGTAGACAGATTAATAAACAGAGGACAGAAGCAGTTATCAGCGGTGATCTTTAAGTGCACACTCAACATTCGACTCACCACCGACTTCTGAGGACTCAGGCCAATTATACAATCTATCTGTCTTGATCTTCTCACCTATGACATGAAATGGACAGTGCCTAACAAATAGTGCCATGGGAATGACATAAAAAAGTATGAAAAGTACTTAACACATATACTTGGAAAATAGTAACACAAAAAATAACAGTGATTAGGGGTAAAAGTTTAAGTCCAAGTCCACAGGTAGAGCAGAGATTTCTTAGCATCACTTTCCATGATTATATCATAACCCAGACATTGTTCCACTTGCTACGAGACCTTGGAAATAACTGTGAGGCAGAGGCTCCTGACTGCTCACTCCAACACCCATTCACCCCTCCTTCACAATGAACAGAACCCAGATGTCTAGTTGGATACACTGTGGCAGGAAAAAAAAATCTATACATTTTAGCCTCCCTGGCAACAGACATTCCCCAAGAGGACAGAGGCTCTGTACTGTCAAAGAAATGTAAAACAATATGGCTTCATGACTTTTGAGAAGTCTGCTCAGAGGGACCGAATGAGCCAGAAGACTCTTTCGCCTTTCTGCTCTTCATTCTTGCTGGATGGAGTCTGGATATGAGAGCTGGAGCTCAAGAAGCCGTTGAGGACCGTGAGATGGGTGTGGAAGAAGAGTGAGACAGAAGAAGCCTGTGACCCTGATACTGCGAAACTCCTGATCACCCCCATCATCTTCTAATTCTAGACTTTATGAACGTGAGGGCAAAATCAATTTCTATTTTAAGCCCTCCTGTGGACTTTAGCTATATGCAGCCAGATCTAATCCTGAATGATACACATCCCATGATAAGAGGCCACAAAAAGCATGACTGAAAAGAGAAATTACATATGAAGGAACTATGTTGAATTTACTGCCTCACACAGACTTTTTACATCAAACAGGCTAAAACAAATGATTCAGATCTCCTACGCTGAGTATTAACTGCTGAACTGTCTTGAAAGACTACAAGGATAACATACAAGGAAAAAATAAGAAAGAAGGGGGAAAGCAAACTTTGAGAATGCAAAGAAGCCTTGAAATTAATTAAAATTTGAAGATTGTTTCCATACATCAGCAACGTAAAATCTAAAAATGAAGTCATGGGCATAGATAAGTTAGGAAGTATTCATATTTCAGATGAGCAACCTAGCAAACAGTCTCAGAAGATATATCATTGATTTAAGAGGTTTTAAATCAAGAGTAAAATATGACAAAGTCATTACTAAGGAAAACAAAGAGGCAGGCATACTATATGAAAACCCCAGATTTTTAAAGCAGTACTAAAAAAGAGACCCATTTGCAAACAGTTTATCTACCTTGTAAAACAAGAGTAGTACTGAGTATTAAAAAGATTCACTTCTTACAGCTAAGCACTTCATATCACTTTTAAGTAGGATAATTCAAACAGCAATTCAGTGAAAGAGATGAATCTCAGTTTCTACAGAGTACCTGACAGCCTATCATAGTCCTTGCAATTCTGAGTGAAGCTAAGTCATTTATCAGTGCGTGAAAAATTATGAGTAAACTTAACTCTCAGCATTAAAGAGGAATGAATTGATTACCTCTAAAATTAGTTCAAAAGGCTCACATTATTCCTAAAACATACACATAACTTTTTTTTATTAATTAATATAAATCACTGCAGATGGTGACTGCAGCCATGAAATTAAGATGCTTGCTCCTTGGAAGAAAAGCTATGACCAACCTAGACAGCACAGACATCAACAGCAGAGACATCACTTTGCCTACAAAGATCTATATAGTCAAAGCTATGGTTTTTCCAGTAGTCATGTATGGATGTGAGAGTTGGACCATAAAGAAAGCTGAGCACCAAAGAATTGATGCTTTTGAACTGTGGTGTTGGAGAAGACTCTTGAGAGTCCCTTGGACTGCAAGGAGATCCAACCAGTCCATCCTAAAAGAAATCAGTCCTGAATGTTCATTGGAAGGACTGATGTTGAAGCTGAAACTCCAATACTTTGGCCACCTGAAGTGAAGAACTGACTCACTGGAAAAGACCCTGATGCTGGGAAAGACTGAAGGCAGGAGGAGAAGGGGATGACAGAAGATGAGATGGTTGGATGGCATCACTGACTCAGACATGAGTGTGAGCAAGCTTGAAGAATTGGTGATGGACTGGGAAGCCTGGTGTGCTGTAGTCCATGGGGTTGCAAAGAGTTGGACATGACTGAGCAACTGAACTGAACTGAATTTACTTTTTAATTGAAGGATAATTGCTTTACAGAATTTTGTTGTTTTCTGTTAAACCTCAACATGAATCAGCCATAGGTATACATATGTCCCCATGCTCTTGAAACTCCCTCCCACCTCCCACCCCATCCTACCCCGGTGGGTTGTCACAGAGCACAGGTTTGAGCTTCCTGCGTCATACAACAAATCCCCACTGGCTATCTAATTTAAATATGGTAATGTATGTGTTTCCACATTGCTCTCTCGATTCGTCCCACCCTCTCCTTCCCCCACGGTGTCCAGAGGTCTGTTCTCTATGTCTGCATCTCTATTCTGGCCCTGCAAATAGGTTCATATCCGTGCCATCTTTCTAGATTCCATATATATGCATTAATATACTATATTAGTTTTTCTCGTTCTGGCATTTCATTTTGTATAATAGTCTCTAGGTTCATCCACCTCATTTTTATGGCTGAGTATTATTCCATTATGTATATGTACCACAGCTTCTTTATCCATTAATCTATCAATTCTTCTTCTTTTAAATTTTACTAATGATAGCTGAGAGTTCACTGAAATTTGTTAATATTGTTAAAATTTTTCAATGAATAGTTTTTATGAAAAGTCATTGAAATAGTGTAATTGAAAACAGTGCAGCATAAACTTACATCAAAAGTCTAAATATACATCTTTTGGTGGTAGATGCTGGTGAGTGGCTCCTATTTAAAGTGTTCTAGTAGAAAATCTAGTAGTGTAGTAGCGAGTAACACAGAAAAAAATTGGAAAAATAATAAAAGGAAACAATTACTTAAAAACAGATACACATGATAATAGTTCTGAAACCACAGGATTATGGCTAAAATGAACAGAAGTGGTTTTAAGTCCATTCTTTGGTGAAAGACTCTTTGGATGCAAGGTATTTTTTCCTCTTTGATTCCTACTTCAAAAATGTGAAAACATTTCATGGTATCAAAAACAGATGTTCATGAAGGAAACTGTGGTAAAGATGAGTCAACATAACCCATGTAAACTTATCCAAGGACTGTCACAGTGAGCAGAACAGAAATTTGGGCATCAAATAGATGCTTCCTAGAGAGTACTTATCTGAGGGACACAGTTTTCGTATCTGTGTACTAGTTTCCTAGGGTTACTGGAACAGATTACCACTACCTGGGTGGCTTAAAAACACCAAAATTTATTCTTTCATGCTCTGGGGGCTGGCAGTCCAAATCGAGGTGTTGGTGGGACTTGCTCCCCACGGGGCCNGATGGTGGTTTCTGCCTTATGGCAGAAAGTGAAGAAGAACTAAAGAGCCTCTTGATGAAAGTGAAAGAGGAGAGTGAAAAAGCTGGCTTAAAACTCAACATTCAGAAAACAAAGACCATGGCATCCAGTCCCATCACTTCATGGCAAATAGATGGGGAAACAATAGAAACAGTGGCAGACTTTATTTCCATGGGCTCCAAAATCACTGCAGATGATGATTGCAGACATGAAATTCAGACGCTTGATCCTTGGAAGAAAAGCTATGACAAACCTAGACAGCATATTAAAAAGCAGAGACATTACTTTCCCAACAAAGGTCCACCGAGTCAAAGCCATGGTTTCTTCAGTAATCATGTATGGATGTGAGATTTGGACTATAAAGAAAGCTGAGCATCGAAGAACTGATGCTTTTAAACTGTGGTGTTGGAGAAGACTCTTGAGAGTCCCTTGGACTGCAAGGAGATCCAACCAGTTAATCCTAAAGGAAATCAGTCCTAAATAGTCATTGGAAGGACTGATGCTGAAGCTGAAACTCCAATTCTTTGGCCACCTGATGCAAAGAACTAACTCATTCAAAAAGACCCTGATGCTGGGAAAAATTGAAGGCAGGATGAAAAGGGGACGAGAGGATGAGGTGATTGGATGGCATCACTGACTTGATGGACAGGAGTCTGAGTAAGCTCTCGGAGTTGGTGATGGACAGGGAAGCCTGGCATGCTGCAGTCCCTGAGGTCGCAAAGAGTGGGACACATCTGAGCAACTGAACTGAACTGATGGTGGTTTTATTCCTAGGTTTTCCAAGGAATCTCTATACTGCCTTCCATAGTGGCTGTATCAATTTACATTCCCACCAACAAGTACAAGAGGGTTCCCTTTTCTCCACACCCTCTTCAGCATTTATTGTTTATAGGCTTTTTGATGATGGCCATTCTGATCGGTGTGAGGTAATATCCCACATTGTAGTTTTGATTTGCATTTCTCTAATAATGAGCAATGCTGAGCATCTTTTCATGTGTCTGTTAGCCATCTGTATGTCTTCTTTGGAGAAATGTCTGTTAGGTCTTTTTCCCACTTTTTGATTGGGTTGTTTTTCTGGTCTTGAGTTGTATGAGCTGCTTGTATATTTTGGAAATTAATCCTTTGTCAGTTGTTTCATTTGCTATTATTTTCTCCCATTCTTAAGGTTGTCTTTTCACCTTGCTTATCGTATCCTTTGCTGTGCAAAAGCTTTTAAATTTAATCAGGTCCCACTTGTTTACTTTAAAACATACCCATAACTTAAAACACAGTTTAAACACACACACATACACAGCTACAGCTATAAAAAAAGATGGGAAGAATTAATTCCCAGTGGGGGAGAAATATTCCAAATTGCTTGTAACTATGGTACCTATAGTTCCCTATGGTACCTTGAAGTTCCTTGATAGCTCAGACAGTAAAGCATCGCCTACAATGTGGGAGACCTGGGTTTGGGTCAGGAAGATCCTCTGGAGAAGGAGATGACAACCCACTCCAGCACTCTTGCCTGGAATCCCATGGACGGAGGAGCATGGTAGGCTACAGTCCATGGGGCTTCAAAGAGTTGGACACGACTGAGCAACTTCACTTTTCATGGTACCTACAGTTAAACATCTGCATCATTTATTTCACTTATTATATTATGAAGGTTAAAGACTACGTCTTAAAGTCACATCCATGACTTGGCACCATATCTCATACATAGTAAATGTTCTATTACTATTTGGTGAATAAATGCTAGAAAATCCAACAGTTCAATCTTCAGCTTAAATTAAAATTCTCATTAGCTAGAATCCCAAACTATTATCTTTTTTTAATACTGGGTATGGGGGAAAAAAAAAAAACAAAAAGCAAAACTAAAAACTCCTGAAGAAAGTGGTTCAGGTCAAGTCCAGCCTGCTTTATTTATTTATTTATTTATTTATCATTTATTTTTATTAGTTGGAGGCTAATTACTTTACAATATTGTAGTGGTTTTTGCCATACATTGACATGAATCAGCCATGGATTTACAAGGAACCATTAAGTTAGAAGCAAAATGAATCTAAAGCAGAGTGAGTGCCACTAGTCTACTAAATCTCAAAATTGACGTAAACCAAACATAAGTGTTTAGTTGATGATAATACATTATTATTAAAGAAAAACAACACGTAACAGAAAGGAAAAAAAGAAGAACTAAAAGCAAGACTGAAACTTCAGTTCCAAAGCCACTCATTTTTATTTAAATGAAGAAGAGCTAAGAGTCTTTTTCTTCCCTACATGCCCCTTAATATCCATGAAAATGCATATGTAGTGTTCTTTACTATATTTCATGATGGCTTACACATTTAAAACTTTTAAACTTGTTTGCATGCATCCAAGGGAAATATGTTTCAGCAAATCCACAAAAAAGAATAGCATTTTAAAGTGGCACTTAAATTTACAAGGCTGTTAAGCCTGCTAACACTATAGCGCAAAATACTTAAGACAACATAAATGACAAAAACAAACATCGATGTTCCTACCATCCAGCTTAAAAAAATATAATTTACAATACAATGGATGTCTCCCCTCCTACTCTTCTCCTAGATAAGGTCCTCATTCCTTTCCTCTGGAGAACACGCTATTCTGCGGAACTGTTGTTTCATCATTCTCATATTTTCCTCTGAAAGTTATGACATACACATTATATTGTTGAACCCAATAAGTCATTTAAAAAATACATTAATGGATTTGGGTTGCTAATACTTCATTTTGGATTAATACATCTATTTTTGTAAGCAGAATTTGTCTACAATCCTTTCTTGGACTTTCTTTATCTGGTTTGAGTATCATGATGATACCAGACTTACTAGACAAGTTAGGTTACTTTCTTTTTTAAAAAGAAAAAAAAAAAATCTCTGGAAGACAGTTTCAGAAGACCTCATTTGAAAACTGTCTTGACTTGTTTCTTGTTTCCTTTGTGGATTTTAAAAGACTGATTCAATTTAAGAGTTTTAAGACATTTGATGTCTTCTATTTCTTCCTTGATCAGTTTTCCCAAATTAAATTTTCTTGGGAAATTTTCCAGTTCTTCTAAAATTTAACATTATATGGCATGTAATTTTTCGTGGTTTTCCTACAAATTTTAAAAACTCAATTTCAG